GACTCATGAGTCGACCTAAATTCACAGCTAAGCTTTATTTTTGCACAGCAACATTTCTTCGAACAAGCTTGTTGTTTTTACTAATCAATTTGAAATATTAGGTCCATCAATGATCTGCTATAGTGGGGGAAATTTCATATTATGTGTCTGATATTATGTAACTGATGAGGCAAAAAGGAGAGGCTGAGAGTGCAGTACAGGGTCCATAACTCTCGGCTTAGACCCTTTTCACCACCTCACAATTACTAAGAGAGAAACACTTGGGATAGAGTTTGAGCTGAGACTAACACATGCTAGTGCTAGACCTAATCATTTGGTGCACCCTTTGACAATTGGATCAGGGAACATTGGGAGTTTGAATTCCACAAATACTTGTAGGATAAGCCCCACCCCTAAAGTATTGTCCTTCTTCTGATGTCAGAGAGTCTCTAATCTCCTAGGACCCATAGACCAGATGGCTTTTAGGCCAATCAACCAGCATTCCTGGTATAAACACACCCTGCATTTGCTCTGGTTGGTGTAGAACCTGGCTTAGAATGAAGTGAAAAGACCCTCCCAGCAGTAAGGGGGCATATCCAAACAATTATCTACCAACCAATTAGAATAAAACATTTCTAGTTAGTTTCTGTTTATTTCCAGAAGAAGCAGCTTTCCCTGTTTTTTTAAGTGTTCATAGGAAGCAACGTTTGGCTCTTGGAAGTCAGTAGATGGGAAAAGTTTCCTTGACTCTCTTTGAATAAAAATTTCTGGTTTGACTCTTGTGTCATCAAATCCAGTTTTCAGGACATAGCTTTCATCTTGGATCACTTTTTTTTATAAAAATAAAACTCATCATTAGGAGGTTATAAGCTAAGGCTAAAGGTTTACCGAATGGGCTGACACTGGTTCTGATTTAATGTGGGTCTTTAGTTCTTTTGTGATTTGGGTAGTGTGACTCCTGGCCAATAGTTCTAGCCATGGAGTCTGCAAAAGCAAACTAAATCTTATCTTCCCATTCATCTTCGAGTCTCACTATATTTTCCAATTTAAACTCACTCTATGCACTCACTCCTACAATAGGTACTTTAAATACACATTTAGTACAGTAGAGCTGGTACTTCCTCACTATGAAAGGAAGTAAGAAAAGGCAAATGGTGTGCAACTATTGCTTCCACAGAGTCCAGTGGGAAGAAGAGAGATAAATAGAAATATAAACAGAAATATTGTAGGAGCTAGATTTGAGAGTCTGTCAAAGTAGGGTGGGATCCGGCCCCTGTCCCACCTCTCCCAGCTGAGAGGAGGTAATCCGTGCAGGCGCTAACAGACCCCCGCCCCAGTCGAAATGAGAAAACACATAAATAAGTCTCAAAACCAGACTTCCAGATCACCTACAGCAACCCCAAAGGGAAATGAGATGGAACACTCTGATACTCAACCACCTGGACCCACTGAACTGGCAACAAAAAGGGATCTGGAAAAAATGAAATCAGAAATAATTTCTCAGATAACAGGAGAAATTGTGCCCTTAGTGCAAGACATGATTAATAAATCTAGAGAGGAGCTGAGGACCATGATGGAATCCCAACATAAGAAACAAATGGAATCCATAAAACAGATGCAAATAGATTTCCAGGACATGAAAAACTCCATTGAAAGTCTACACAGCACAATGAGCCAATGTGAGGACAGAATTTCAGATATAGAAGATAAGATTGCAATTAGTGACCAGGAAAAGAAAAATTGCTTCAAAATTATAAGGGAACATGAGAAATCAATCCAGCAGCTGCTAGATGATGCAAAAAAGAATAACATAAGACTGATTGGGCTCAATGAAGAAACAGGAGAGAGTGTAGATGACATAAAAAATCTCTTCACAGAAATAATGGCAGAAAACGTCCCAAGCAGGGGAAAAGAGCTTGACATACAGATAAGTGAGGCATATAGGACTCCAAATAGCCTTGATCAAAAAAAAAAATCTACACATAGGCATATAATTGTTAAGATTCCAGAAACACAACAGAAGAACAAAGTTCTCCAAGCAGTCAGAGAAAAGAAACAAATCACACACAAAGAAAGCTCATCAGAATCACAGCAGACTTCTCAACACAAACCATCAAGGCAAGAAGAGCTTGGAGTGACATATTCCAAGCCCTAAAAGAAAACAGCTTCCAACCCAGATTGCTGTACCCTGCAAAACTATCTTTCAAAATGGATGGAGAAATAAAATACTTTCATGACAAAGAGCACCTTAGGAACTTCGTGAATACCAAACCAGCACTCCAAAGAATTTGACACAATAGCCTAGGAACAGACATCGAGGATCACAACCCCAGGAAGCAAAGCAGAATGAACCCATCTGGCATGACAAGAAATTAAATGTAAAGGGGGAGAACCCAACAAAAAAGTAGGGTGGGATCGTAGTGGGGATGAAAAAGAGTAATTCTTGCAAGGCTAGGACAGGCTTCCCTGAAGAGGGAAAAACACTGCATTGTATTCTTTTTTTGATTATTAGTATGTGTTTGCAATACATAATTATTGCATGTATCATGAGAAGTTTGTACATGTATATAACACATCTGAATTCCTTTTTGTCCCCTTTCCTTCCTACCCCTCCCTCTTCCCTCCAACTCTTATTCCTCTTCTCATTTGTGAAAGCTGTTTCCTCTTTTCTTCAATTCTCTTTTTCTAATGCCTTTTCCCTTCCTTCTCTCCTCCCCTCCATCTCATGTTCTCCTTCCCATTTGAAAAAGATCTCCCTACTTCCTATTATCTACCTTTTATTATGCTCTTTATTTATATTTTTAGACCCCCAAAGAACAAAAGATCTAATTGAAAAATGGGCAACTGAAATGAAAACACACTTCTCAGAAGAAGTACAGATAGCCAATAAATACATGAAAAAGTGTTCAGCATCACTGGTCATTAGAGAAATGCAAATTAAAACACCAATGAGATATCATCTTACTCCAGAAAGAGTGGCTATCATCAAGAAATCAAATAATAACAAATGCTAGCAAGATAGCAGGGGAAAAAGGAACCCTTCTACATTGTTGGTGGGAACATATGCTAGTACTACCACTATGGAAATCAGTGTGGAGATTTCTCAAAAAACTAAAAATAGAAATTCCATTTGACCCTACTATTCCTCTTCTAGATATTGTCCCCAAAGAGTTAAAGTCATATTACAGTGATACATGCAATTTATTCTTGCAAGAGAGATTTGCCTGACAAAAAAATGAAAGAAGAACATTCCCAACAGGTAGAACTGCATGAGCCACAGGTAGCACATGGAGGGCTAGGAAAGCTTGGTAAGTGTGCAGAAGAAACAGTCATCCTGGGTGGCCATTGTACAAGGCAAGGCAGGAGGTGTAAGCACAGAAGAATCTGGAGAGATGGGTAGAGGTGAGGGGCAAGTCCAGTTTGGGATGCTATGAAACAGATGCAGCCCCTTGTAAAACCCAAAGCACTATTGTACTCATCCTTATGTTTATGTTGTACGCATCCCATTCATGCTTATGTGATATCCTGAGACAAAGGCAATACTTGGGCTCCAGGATGCAGGAGGAAGAAAAAGGGCTTTGGTGCATGCTAGACTCTAATATTTTTGAGTCCCCTTCCCCGACTCACATTTGTGGTTTTAGCAAGTTATTTGCTCTATCTAAACCTCAGGTCCATTATAGCTAAGAGATAAAAGTAGAACCTACTTTGTAAGTAGGAACAAAAGGAAAAAGAGACTGTTTGTAAAGGGCTCCATACTGTGACTGGCACATAGGACATATTCAACAAACCTTGAGTTTGTAATCATAGTATTTGATGTGACTTATAGTAACGTTTCCTTGGGCAAGGTCAGTAGAGAAACCCAGGGTCACATGGGTCAGTCAAGTTCAGCTGACCCCATCACTTGGTTTCTGAGAACAGCCCCTGTGGGATTCGCAGCTCCCACCCCATCTCAGCCAGATTTGCAATGTCGGGAGGACAGGCCTGGCAGGCTCATTCTGTCCTCAGATGTCTTAGCGCATGGGGATCAAGGAAGGGGAGCCCAAGCCTTGGATTATAAAGGCATTTTGCATCTCCCTGGGTAAGATGATAATGCCAAAGGATCCTGGCACCAGGCAGGGGAATGCGGCCTCCATCCAAGCATCCTTGTCCCCACGGGATCACCAGGTGCCTGCTGATATTAGACCCTGAGACTGTCTTGAAACTTCTTGTTTCTTTCTCCCAATTGTCTTTGCTTAGCAGCTAGGTATGGTATATATTTTGGTTGACTCTTTATTTAAAAATGTTTGTATCCACTTTATTTTGTTAAGGACAGTTCAGGTTCACAGCAAAACTAAGGGAAAAGTAGAGAGATATCCCATACCTGCTCTCATCCGAGAACAGCAACTCCCACTATCAGTGTCCCATGTTGCTGAATTATATTTGCCATAGTCAACCTGTGCTCACACACCCTTATCACCCCAAGTGAATGCTTTACATTAAGGTTCACACTTGGTGTCCAGTTGATGAGCATTGTTGGTTTTTCACAGCAGTTATTCCCTGGGAAGCACATCCATGTGGCTTGGGGTGAACCTGATGATGCTGACCTATTGCCAAATAAAGTGCTTTGGAGAAGTGTTTAAGATTGGGTAGAAGTACAGAAGAAAGAAACAGAAGCATGGAGGAAAGAAGGAAAAGTCTCTGAGGCTGTTTGAAGAGGGAGGTTGGTGATAGTTCTTGCCTATGTTATCCATACCCTTCTCCCACTCCCTAAATCTGCTTCTACCCCTAGGCATGTGTCTTGGGGCCTTCCTCTTCCTGGAGAGATGCTGCTGCCTTTGAATCTTTTTTAGTGGGTGTTGCTTTCCTCCTGCACACCCCCCAGGGCTACATCGTGAGTCCCTACCCACACTGTGATAAGGGAAAGTTTTATTTTAAAATGAAAATCTTGGGGAATGAGACCTTTTCTTAGAACCTCGGATAAAATTCTAATTGCTCTTGCAAAGTTCTTGTAAGGAATTCTAAGTGGTCCTCCTATTATGACAGATGAAGCCTCCCGGGAAGCTGGCTACCCCGGGAGGGAGCCCAGGTCAACACGGAGATGCCCTTCCAAACAGGGCCCCGAACAGCTGAAGGGCTCCAGTTACCCAAGAAGTGAGTGACACAGACACTTCTTTTGCCAGCTGGAGGAGGGGGAAGGAGAGACCAAGAGAGGTGGTGAAGGGAAGGACAGAGAAGAAATGGCAGTGACTGGAGGCTTTTGGGAGTGAAGAGCCACAGTTACCCAGTAGCCTGGCAGAAGGGACTGGAACATCTTGACTCTGACCAGCACCCCTGCTGTATTCTGGGGGACAAGGTGGCTTCCCACATTGAACTTCACTGCATTGTTGGTGATTTACCAAATTGACTCCCTGAGGATCACCAAGATTCTCCCACTGTTGTAAATGAGAATAGTCACGTGTATGTCAGCAAGTGGAGTTTGCCCTAAATCTTTGATTCAGGATGTGTGTGTGTGTGTGTGTGTGTGTGTGTGTGTATAGTTTGTTCAAACAGTGAGTTAAAAATCCATGCCATTCATATGTTTTTATGTTTGCCTTGCTTTTTGCTCATTTAATTTTGTGTATTTTTATAAATACATGTTGCCACATATTGCTTTGAAAATAATAAAAATAATTGTTTTGAGCACAAAAACAGTGAATCAGTGAAAAAATTTGGAAAAACAATTTTTAAAATTTTTATAGAGAAAGGAACAAATTGATACATGTCAAATGGGTTAACTTGTGGGGTGGGGGGAATTGGATTTCTTCTCAAGAGATAAGAAATTGTCAATTTCTTTAACTGTCTCTTGATTGCTTGTGAATTGACTTGTGAAAATGAGTACATATTACTTTCATCATTTTTAAGTAAATTCAATGAAAAAAAGGTTAAAATAATACATTTGCCACATTTTTTAAAAGTAAGACTGTTTCCTAAGTACAATACCTTTAAATATTTTAACTGTATAAAACAACTTTTAAAATTGAACTTACTTCCTTAACTAAAGAGTTCTTTCTTCCAGTTTTATGTGTATCAGCTTACCTGAAAAAAGTTGACTTTTGCATTTGTTCCCAATATAGACAATGCAAGCCTTTCTATTATAAATAAATATTTCCACCCAATGAATTCATATACATTCATTTGATTTAGAGCTTCAGTAATTTAAACAATTTTTTAAATTAGGAAGTCTTAAACTGACAGAAGTTTGAAAATAATTTAATAAATATCCATGACCTATTATCTAGACTTAAGAAACTTTTTTTTATATTTGCTTCAGATCATTAAAAAATAACTGTAATAATAAAATACACCATTCAGTATCTCTTGCCTTCATCTTAGTGACAACTATTACCTGAGGTTGGTGTGTATCTTCCTGTACAATGTTTTCTTGTGGAGTATTTTTGTTTGTTTGTTTGTTTTGGGTTTTTTGGTACCAGGGATCGAACTTGGGTCCTGGAACTTTTGAGACAGGTGTCGGAACCACTGGGCTAAATCCCCAGCCCCCTTGTCCAATGTTTTATACTCTTATTATGTATGTATATGTCCATAAATAATATGCACTATTGTTTTTTATTTTGAAACTATACAGAAATACTATGGTGCTATATATATAATTTTTTTTGCTATTTTGCTACAATTCTTTTTAGTTACACAGGCCCTGATTTATTTATTATTTCTTGCTGCATAGTATTCCACTAGATGATTTTACCACAGTTTATCTTTTCTCTTATTGATGGACCTCCGAGACATTTCTTATTTTTTCTGTTATGAAAATCACTGCATTGAACACCTTGATTTGTGTCTTCTTATGTACCTGGATCATTGGAACAAACCTTTTAAAACACAGAGGAGAAAGATAAATGGTCAAGGTCTCAGGTTTTCTTCAGGACAGTTGATTTTAATGAGGATTCCAGATCATCTCATTTTACTTGAGGATGGAGTCCTCAATTCCTTTTATCCCTTTTGCCTTAAGTTTGAAAATTAGGAAACCTCTTTATCAAAACTCTGATTATGAAGAATATTTTAGTTAGAACTCAAAGATCCTGAAGCTGAAATGAAGGGAAGACTGGTGGATAAGTTATTTTCTCTCTCCTTTCAGAACGTGGCATGTCAATTTAGAAAATATTAAACAAGATAGCAAGATTAATGAGCTTATTCAAAAAAAAGGAAATAAGTCTTGGTGAGTAGAATGATAAATTAAAATTTTTGAATCTTTATGAATCCAAAAGGCTAAACGATGCCATCTAATCTAAGCTGCATCCCTGTGATGTTACTTTATTCTGTAAATGGTATTTTTTCCTCTCCTTCTAGATCAATTTCAGTGTGTTTGCATTAGCAGACTCCAGGTGATGGATAGGCAGCTTTGTTTTAATAGTCTGTTGGTACAAGGTGATCTGTGGCCTTTCTAGAAGAGGTAAAATAAATCTTCCCATTGTTGCTTCCTCCTTCCTCATTCCAAACCCAAACTGAGTGCTACTCCTGGCTGGCAAACTTGAGGGTCAGCTGCTACCCGGTACCTGTGGTCACCTGCAGCATCTACAACAGCTCGTGTGAGCAAGTCCTGGAAAAGGTCTGTACTTCCTGCATTAGACCTTCTTAAATCTTCCTACTCCTCCCAGTATCTTAGCCCTGTGTGTTCCAAACTGTGACATTTGTCCAAAGTGTGACATGTAAGCAAACTAAGATGACCTACTACTAAATCTGTTGCCTTTTAAGCCATTAATTTTAAGATATATTTCTAAGACTTTATTCCCAAGGACACAGCTTATGTAGTTTTAAGTTTAAAAGTCAATGGGCTGAGGATTTAGCTCAGTGGTTCCTGTGCCTGCCTCACAAGCACAAGGTCTCGAGTTCGATCCCTGGTACCAAAAAAAAAAAGTCATTCTTTTAAAAAATGATTAAGATTATAGAGGTGCATGTGGCTATGGCAAATATTATGAAGATCATATGCAAAGGGATGGATTCGGATCCATTGCCTGAAACAAAGCATAATCTGGCTTAGAATGCTATAAATCACTGAATTTATGTGAGCATTAAGCATATGGGAATGTTATTTGGGAACATCCCTTTAGTTCCTGGTGTCTCCATTTATCTATGTAGAAAATACAGTGATTGGATGAGACCAGAAATTCTCAGCCCTGCTTTATCTGTCAATCATCTGGACAAATCTTGCTCCTGGGGCCATCTCCAAACCAGTTCAATGAGCAAACCTGGGAAATTATGACAAGCATCAGTATTTTGTAAAGCTCCTTCGGTGATTGTAATGTGTAGGCACAATTGACAGCCACTAAATGAGATGATGTCTGAGGTTCCTCCCGGATCTAAGATTAATTGATATTCTGATTTCCTGAATAGAGTATAAATTCAAAGTAATTATTGATTCAGCTACAGGGGAGGAGGCTCTTTGGCTCTTTCAAGTGCAGCTGTAAGGAGTTTAATATTTACTTTCTGTCCAGGCCTGAGAGTATGGACTATGTCCTTTATCTAGGTTTTTCCAGTTCTTGTTATAGTGCTTGGTGTAGAGTAAGTGCTCAATATATATTGAAGGAAAGGATGATAAGGTAAAATTCTGCAACGTGGTTTTATCAGAGTGTTTAAGATTAACCAAGTGGCTCATGCTAACCAAATTCACAGGAGGCTAATTTTCTATTATCATAATTCCAGCTTATTATTGTATAAAGAGAGATCTTCTGGGTCCAAGAAGTGACATCAGTCTTGGCTCCAGAGTATTCCCTTCCTGGCCAATGAGATCAGAGGGTCACTTGGCATGTTAGTCAGCTTTCTGTTACTATAGCAAATAAGCAAGATAAGCAACTTATAGAGAGAAATGGTTTACTTTGGCTCACAGTTTTGGTAGTTTCTTTCCATGATTGTGTGGATCCATTGTTTTTCGACCTCTGAGGGCAAGGATTGGGGGAACAGCACATCATGGCAGGAGTGTGTAGTGTAGCAAAACAGTTCACTTCATGGCTGAGGTGTTAAAAAGAGCAGGAAGGGAAGAGGCTGGGGTTCCACTACCCTTCCGATGGCACACCCCCAATGCCTAAAAGACCTCCCCCTAGGTCCCACCTCTTCAAGATTCCACCACCTTTCAATAGCAACATAGGGCGGGGACTGAGCCTTTACTACATGGGTCTTAGAGGCATTCTGGTTCCAAATCATAGTACTTGGTGATCACAGAACAAAAGTTGGGTAGTTTTAGCGCTGTTTCTATCAAGCCCCGAGGATCTGATGGCTTGGACCCCTACTCTTTAAGTGCCCCCCCACCCAGTACCGGTGATTGAACCCAGAGCCTTTGCACTGAGCTACATTCCCAGCTCTTTTTATTTCTTTTTATTCTGAGACAAGGTCTTGCTAAGTCACTAAGTTGCCCATAATGAGCACAAACTTTCAATCCTCCTGCCTCAGCCTCCCAGAGTGCTAGGATTACAGACATGCACCACCATGCTGGCAAGGCTGTTTTTATGTAAAAGATCGAGGTCATTCACTCAGAACCTGTGCCTGTTGGGCCTCCTGGTAACACACTGATAGTTTTTCATTTTCCACCTTTTCCTTTCCAAATATGCATGAGACCACCACCTGACCATTTTCTTTTCTGGTTACCACAACACAGCTTCCTAAGTGTCAAGTTGTTTTGCTGCTTGCTAATGACATACAGGAGAGAGGCATATTAATCTTGGTAAGGTCACTCCAAATCACTCTGCAAGACGGGTTACTTCTGGAAAGCTGCCCTGCAGACAGCTAATCCTGTCCTTCTTGTAGGCTTGCCTTATGAAGGTGGCATCTGCTGAGCTTACTCTTTTAAGAACCATCTTATTTTGAGGGCTGTAGAGCTCTGCTCACCATCTACAATTACAAGGACTAAAAATACCTTACAGGGTAGAGAATCTTCAAGGGGACTTTGGGAACTGGACTGTATTCCTCCTATTTTGCTGCTGCATTTCAAGGCAATAGCCTTGTTCCTGTGTGGAGCTGTGTAACTCCTGTCAGACTGATGTTGTCCTTTACAGTTAGTTAGTTGGAAGCCAATCTTTATGCCTAGCCTTGCACTTACATCTCCTTTTCCTCCTAAATGTGCCCAAATAGTGATCTTCCCAATTACGCCATCATCATTTAGCCACTGTGTGCTGAAACAGCCAGCTTCCCTGTGCATCAGGCCAAGGTTGGTTTTCCCCATGGAAATGTAGACTTCCATCCCCGTGTGCTGCCATAATCCTCCCACACAGCATTTCTGTCTCCCATGCCCAATAATTTGGAACTTCCACATTAACCTAGGGTCAGAGAATTGGAGGTCACTATGTTATGTGAAATAAGTCAGTCACAGGAAGACAATTACTGCATGATTCCATTCTATGTGAAATCATAGAGTCTGTCTCCTAGAAGCTGCAAGTACAGTGGTGCTTACCAGGCTGGGAGAAGTGGGGAGGGAGAGATGGGAGAAGGTTGACCAGTGGGTGCTACGTTACAGTGAGATTGGACCAAGAAGTTCGGAAGTGCTACTGCACAGTAGGGTGGCTATGGATAACTATAATGTACTGTATATCTCAAAAAGTTAGAAGAATGGATTTTGAATGCTTACACCATCAAGAGATGATAAAGGTTTAAGGAGTTAGACATACTCACTCTGAGTTTAACATTATTATACAATGCATACATGTATCAAAACATAAGACAGTACCTCATAAATATGTACAGCTTTTATAGGAGATAAGATTAAAATTAAATAAAAATAAAGAAAGAAACCCCTAAAATGAGAGAAACACATATGTACTTGTGCTGATATGTATTTGGTGTTCATCTAGAAAAGAGGAAAGTATGGGACATGCGGCTGCAGGTCCAAATGGGGCTGTGCATGTTTCTACATTGCTTATGCCATTGGCACTGTGAACCCTGAAAGGGATACTTGGAGTCACCTGTGTACCAATAGAATGCCAGCCCCTGACTTTGGGCATGAGCTTGTCAGGCTCCGTTTCCTAGTGTGTTTAAATAAATGGTAGTGCTTCTACTGTATAGAAATGTTAGAGTGCACTTGCATTGGCAGACATGTGACAGTTCCTCTAAGGATGTGTTCTTACATTAAGGAAGCTCTTTCTTAAAATTAATTTGCATCTTTCTTCCGACGTTTTTAGTCTAACTCCACCATCAGGAAGTGGTGTGTGTGTATGTGTAGGTAGGTAGGTAGGTACGTGCACATGAGTACAACATTTATTAAACTGGTTACTTTAGAGGGCAGGGAGGATGAATTAGGGTACAACACAGATTTATTTTCATCTTCAAGCCTTTTGTACTGTTTTATACTGCTTCTTCATCCATGAAGAGCTCATATCTGAATATGATATGGTCACATCATCTTAGCCTCTTCTCTAGGAATGCATGATTCTACTGAATTGGAATTATGTTCTATACTTTCTCTAGTCTTTTTACTAAGTTCAACTTGTTGGTTATATAGCAACACCTCATTTTCTCACATTGCCTGTGAATGAAAGTTTTCACATCTGAATTATCCGGGTAAATGAATCTAACCCCTTTATATTGTTGAGGTTTGGAATAAATTCTCCTGGAATATTTGTAAGTTGCAGTGCATTCTTTCCTATAATCGTTTTTAGAGCCTTATTGAGCTGTTTAATATACCATAACATTCACTTATGAAAAGCTCAGTGATTTTTGTTATATTTACAGAGATGGGCACCCATCGTTGCTATCTAGTTTCAGAACACTTCAGGACCCCAAAACAAACTGCATCCTCATCAATAGTCACTGCGCGATCTCCCTTATCTCATCTTCTGGTGCCTACATGTCTATTTCTGTGGAATTGTCCAATCAGGATATTTTACATGAACAGAATCATATATCATGTGGATTCTTGTTTCTGTTCTCTTAAACAGAGGACAATTAATAGTATTTACCTTTTCTTTATCATTTAAGCTTATTATTCATGATAATGCTTTTCTCATGATGACATCCAGAAATATTTAGACAAGGTTTGCCTGTAAAGTCCATGGCCCACTAGGCTCTTTTGCTGGGGCCATCAGGTGACTTTTTGCTATGCTTAACTTTTGTTTTAACCATCATTTCCTTTATAGACCCCCCCCCCCATCTTGCATACTGGGACCATTAGTACATAAACCAGATCAGATCTGAGGTCTCATGTCTTCTTTTTGTCCAGGCTCATAATGTGAC